ACACCCAGAAAGACTTCAGATAGACTTATCTTGTATTATACCGGTAGATATAGAATCATTTTCTGAATTAATTTAAGGTCGTCTGTCCATTTGTCAGTCCTGCACTTTTTATGTTCGCCCTACAGGCCGCAATTTTCGAGATATTTTGGTGAAATATCTTACACTGACATTTTTCGACATCAAGGGCAAACGCTATTGAAAATGCTTTGAATAGAATCACTTGCTCGAGCACTACCCGTCGGCCGTCATATTTTGAGAAGTCGTTAAATGTATGACCACAGTAAGCAAAGTGTTGTAGGTTATTCTATGGCGGGCTGTAATCCCCTATAACTTGTTATAACGTGAAAAATCAACAACAACGCAACAACGTTTGGAGACGACAGTACGATAATGGATAGTTTACGTCGTTTTTCTTGCCCTTTATCAAATTTTGCTACAATTATAAATAACTTTTCATCAGGCTTCATACACTTTCTTTACATCCTTATATAAATATATAGATGTTTATATACATATATATATATAAGAGAGATGAGTTTCAAATATAAATCTATGTAAGCACAATAAATTATTTATATACATTTTGTTTCTGTGCTGCGACTACAAACTATATACCGTCTGCACTAATGTTTTCTGAAAATTTTCCTTTTTTTTTTAATTATTCGAAGTTTTACTTAATTTTTACATATTCTGGAAAGATATTGTTATAGTTTTCGAAAACACAAATTTGCCGTACACACGCACAAATGATTTCATGAAGTTTCCAAACATATTTTCATCGTTAATTACATGCTTGCATATATTTCGCTTTGTAACTAAATATTTTTTGTTATATGTTTTCCTTGATATGAAATGTAAACTTATTTACACCGATTCTTATCGTTAAATTGCTTGTACAAGCTTTTTATTAATTAAAATTATTATAAATAATTCATCGGTATTGCTTTCATAAAGTTTACTGCAGTTCTCTTAGCCAAAAGCTTCTGTTTATGTAGCGTTATCTTAACTTAAATGGTTTTAGATGTGTTTGGCGTTTTTATTGTAAAATTCGAGATTTTCTAAGGTGCATAAAAAATCTGTATACATATGTAGAGGATTGTACGCACTAACGATGGTACAAATATCTTCTTTTTTTTTTGTAATCGGGCAGGATTAAGTACAGAGGAAAGGAAGAGCGGAAAAGCATGTTCGCATATGAATAAGTGGAATCTTGCACACACTACAGAGGTCAGTTTCTTTCTTTTGGCAGTCATTCTAGGAATCTCTAGAGAGCTAGAGGTGATCAAGCAGGATTAGTAAAACGCCAGTAATATATATATATATCAAATTTCGATTTGAAAGTGGATACATGTAGAAAAAAAAAAGTAAAACTACACCGCCAGTGCCTTTCATTTTTTGTTCTAGGCCTTTCACTTTGGACACGCTCATATAGTATCATAATAAATAATTCCCCGCAATGAGTAAATGGATAATTGTTGAAAATTATCGAATTTATGTGAACTCCGTTTGCTTGAACAATCCTTGAAGAATACTATCCATCCATTTATTTATTTATTCATGTGCATGATTTTTTACGTGATTAATTCGTTTCAATTCCTCATTCTAAGCAAAAAAATATTATTAATTGAAGACTCTGGCCATTTCGAATGCAATGAAATACTCGCCGTACCTACTATTTCTCGTCATTCTTATGAAACAATCTGAACAGTCTTTCTTTAAAGACTAGGTTTTCTTTCTAAATAAACAATTTTTCGACTATCTACAACCGCAAAAATGGGTATGTATACACGTATGCTAATCCTTCTAGAGCTTAACCGATAGTTTTCAATGCACTTTACAAAACGTAAGCAAGTACCGAAAGTTTGCCCTTCCGTCGGCAATTCATTGTAATGTATAACAAAAAAATCTTTTAAGTGTGCATGTATTCTTTTACACTTGAGGAGCCTAACATTTTAAGTTAATATCATTTGTCTATCCAAACATTTACTCATGTATATGGTAGGGAAATATCTTGAGCTAGTGCAGTACGCTTTGAGTTTACGATTACAATCGAAAAATAGCTGAAAGTACAGTTCTTCTAGTGTATGTATAGGTTTTTTAGGTACTCGAAAGCCAACACAAACATAAGCACACATATTTATATATATATATATTTATATATATGTATATATATATATATATATATACATAAATGTACGCACATATAGTAAAGCTTATGAAAATTTTCTACTACAAGCACCATTTCAGCTCAAGTTTTATTTTACTTTTTTATTCATAAAGTCTTATAACATTTTCTTTGCTTTGTTATGGTAACGTATTGAACTTCCTTTAATTGATGGGTATTCATTATTCGTCCTCGAGCGTTTAATGCTTTTTCTGCTTTTATTTAAAATATAAAATCAATTTCATGCTTAAAACTTTCTACAGCAAAACACTTCCTGTTGACATAGAAAAACACTATTTTTCAAACCTATATATATGTTTACCAAAAACTTAAATGAAATAAAATCACTTGTTCACATGAAATGCACAAAAACACAAAACAAACAAAAAAAAAAAAAGCAAAATTCAAAATATTCAATAAAACTACACTACTATATATATATATATATATATATATACATTGATCCATATATTCAGATTCACAAAAACGTAAACACCACACACAAAACTTTTATAAGGTGCCTAAAGAAAAAGGCAACAGAACATAGTACAATACACAAAACAAGAGTTTTCAATATAAAATTGCAAAAATTTGCACAAGAACACAATATAAAATTATATATGGTTTTAACAAACAAAAAACAAAAAAAAATATGAAAAAATAAAAATAATAATAATAATAAAATAAAACGAGCAAACCCTTATTATACTGTGCACTTACACCGAATCTCAGAAGACCTACCTCTAGCTAAGTTGTTAACAATAACATGCAAGCTAAACAAGCATTAGCATCGCATGGCATAATTAGTGTACAGACTTTTCTGCTTCTGCTTATTTTACAAGAAGAGATAAAACTCGCCGTTTGTTATATAGGAAAATCGATGACAGTAACCTGCTATGCAAGCGTAAGAATTCTTTATTCTGCTTTTGCACCCGACATAAAAATGCTGTAAATGTAACAGGGAATGTTATTGTAAACAACTTGCCATGGACGGACATGAATATGCCTTAGCCGGTAAAGGACCTCCGCCTTTTCACTCTGATCGTACAAGTGTACATACAGTCCATGATCACGGCTTTTTTTTTTATTTTTGTCTGCTGCAAGCATTTGACATATCTAATATGCCCCTTGTGGTGGTTATAAATATGTATGCGCAACAACAAGAATCCAAAAAAAAACAAAAAAAAAAAAAATAGAAAAACCATAAATACATGCACAAACTAAAATATAACAACTGAATAACTTGAACGAGTAAAAATAGTTTATATATAAGATTTTTTTTTTTTTCTTTTTTTAAATTTTTTATTCGGTATTTATGCTTTTTCTTCAGGAAACGACAAATGCAACAAATGTTTCATTCAGTACGAAACAAAACCACACGTTCATTTGAAATTTTAATAAAATATATAGCACACACAACTAGCCAAACAGAGAGAGGCAGAGAGAGAGAGAGAGAGAGAGAGAGAAAGAGAGTGAAAGAGGGAGAGATAGAAAAAGAAACGAAGGAAAATACCTGAAAAACACATTTTAACTTTTAAACAAAAAAATATGTAAAACTTTAAATAAAAATTCCAAAAGTGGAAAATTATATATAAGAAAATATTTTATAAATCGATTCTCTTCTTATATGCATACGATTCCAAATGAAAACTTTAAGCATTTTTTAGTTAGAAAATAAAAAAAAATTCTTTACAGTGGAATCTCCTTAATATCAGCTAGAATTTTTTCTTCCCATTGTAATTGCAAAAGAACGAAAAGTTTGCTTCCCTAAGCCTTAATCTTAGCTAATTTTCAAAGCACTTCGAAGCGCGTCGAGCTGCCTTCGACGCCATTACTGCCATGCAGTACGAAGTCCTTATTGACTTATCTTGAGAGTATGTTGTCAACCCTTAGTGGATTAATGCAGCATTAATCTATCATTTACTCGATCTAAAGTAGCGCACATTGGGGCAAAAATTTTGATCTTTTGATAAATTTTCAAGTCAAAGTAACCTTCGACCCGTTAAAGATTAATGGTACAGACTTTATGTGTAAGTAAACTTGCAAAGATATGTTTTTTATCGAAGACAATCAATCGATCATATCCTGGGATACCGACCTGCTGCAAAAATAAATTTGTTATGCACACTTTGAAACCATCCAAACACCTTGCAACAGATTGTTCATCAGAGGAGGGATATGCTCAGTGTCAACTATTCGGAAGTCTTTCCTTCCTAAATCCAAAACCCTTGCCTATCGTGTATTAATCAGGACGGAAATATATATAAATGTTCTAAAGGTTTATAAATCAAAGGACAACTCTATTTGAAAGATAAGACGAGGCTTTGATCGTTATTACTGAGTAGGCACTTTTGTTTCTTTTCATTTCTTAGATGCCGCGACTGTTTTCGATTTTGATGATAAAAGAGGAAGGGCAGTAATACAAAGAAATGAATAGACTTCAAGTCTTAAATAAGACCACAACGGCAAAGTCGCTGCATGGCTTTCTAAAGCGGCCTTACCTCTATCTAGAGATAATTATCGAGCCCTTTAACCGGTACGCCTAACGTTTACGAGTCTTATCAAGAAAGTTTTAAGGTTAGCTTGTACCGAAATATTCTTTCCTCCTCCTACCATCTGTCTCTCTCTCGCTCTCTTCACTTGACAAAATCTACATTTCATAATCTTGGACTTATCTGGTATATAATTCCATCTTCGACCTCGAAAGGAATATGAATTTTCTTAGCCTTCGACTTAACAATCATCTCATTATATTGAAAATCTTATATTAAACAATTTTTCATTTAATTTTCTAACAGATATTACAATTCTTCAACATATTATTACAAATTTTTAGGCAATTTTGTGCTATTGTGGCGTCGTGGTATTAATGTGCTGACAGCCTCGAACATAATGGTGACAAGAGATGAACGCATAAGACTGATAGATGGCTACAATTTGGAAATATCGGATCTAGAGCCACAAGACGCCGGCGACTATGTATGTCAAATAAGTGATAAAATAAATCGTGATCAAGTACATACCGTCGAAATTTTAGGTAAGTGAATTTGCCAATATCTCATTTACTGCTTTATTTAAATTTATGAAATTTTTTAGATATAAACAAATTTTTATTTTTATAATTATTTTAGTGCCACCTAGCGTAAGAGCTACTCCCACCTCTGGTCAATTACAAGCTCGAAAAGGTGGCCCCGTTACACTGGAGTGTAAAGGCTCCGGAAATCCGGTGCCTTCGATATACTGGACGAAAAAGGTTTGTTCTAGAAGAGCTTCTTTTCAATAAGTTAATTAATTATCTTATTAAAGATACGATTTAGTTCTCTTTGAATATTCAATCCGTTGCATTATTTCCGTTGCCTATTGAATTCCCACTCGCGTCTCTGGAATTTCCAAGCCATGCGGCTTTCAATTCGCGATGGCATATTGCAAAGTAAACCAAAACATCCCCCCCCCCATGCCAAGGAATGAATATGATGAGACAACATTTCTTTGGCAAATCGTTTCTTTCTGAATCTGATGAAATTTGTATTGTCCCAGCGAGAGTTTGAAACTTAAGTCAATTTTATATCTTTGTTTTCTTATGCGTGATGTGTTCAAAAAAAAGGTGACTTTTCAAATTTCGTGACCTATGTAAACTATCGATATTCGAATTTTCATTTTTCCTTATGTGGGCACACATGTCCCCAACGTATGTTGACTTTATCAGCCATTTTACATTTTTAGTTTTTTTTTTTTCTTTTTTGACAAATAGAAATTGGACGTAGTTTGATGTGCTTTCTTTGTGAGAAATGAAGTAAAACGCCCAACATCACTTAAAATTGTGGCATTTGGTCAATCTTCTTTGAGCTGAATATAGGTTTGTCAGTTGTACCGACGTTGAAACAGCCAAGAATATTGTTAAGGAAAATCGTCGAATCGTCGAATCCACTATTGCAGTAGTTCCTGAGGATGCTGACGGTTGGTTCATGCCGCGCATTTTTTGTTGGATGTCCTGAACATGTAACGTGTAGTAACGAAGCTTGTACCGAAATTGCTCTATTTTGACCAAAAGAATCAATCTATGAACATAGCTCAGGAACTATGGCGGCAACAATGATCCAGATTTGTTAAAAAGCGTCATAACTGGTGGCGAAATATGGACAAGCAAACTCCAACCATCCCAATAGTAACGGCTACAAGAGCCAAGACTGGAAGAAGCACATCAAGTTTGATCAAAGATAAAGATCTTGCTCACTGTTTTCTTCGATTCCATCATGCAAGTTCACGCGACTTCTTGCCGGAAGTTCGTACGGCCAATAAGGTCTTTGAAGTTATACGCCAGCAATATGAAAAAAAAAAACGTCTTGAGTTGTGGAAGAATCAGTCACGGATGTTGCACGAAGATAATGCCCCAGCTATTGTTTTGTCGTAGTTTTTCCTAGACCCCTGCGATTTTTTTCCATGAACGAGATAAAGACCGCATTGCTCAAAGAACTAAAGGCCATACCAAAAAAACTATATCGAGCATTGGAAAAAGCGCTGGCACAAGTATATTGTACATAAGGGGGAATACTTTGAGGGGTACAAAATAGATAGTTATGAGTAAATATATATTTTTCAAGAAAAATAAAAGACGCTTTTTCTAAACATAATACTTATTCTTCATACATATATTTATATATATGAACTATCCTTTAAAGCTTCCTACATGGAGGTCTCACCAGAAGAAGCGTTGAGATGTAATAGACTAAGTAATGCGAAACGTCCATCAAATCAAAATTATCTCGTTTTTCTGCATCATCCTCTGCCTTCCGTTTTCTCACCGCATTTTCTATTGCATAAACTTTGGAGCACCGTCCACATCTCTTGAAGAAGAACTTATTAGTTTATTTCATCTAAAATTTGTTTTCGTTTATCGAAGAATTTCCGGCAATTTTAAAAGTCTTTGAATCGAACTGTTTAAAAGGAGAAAAAATACCTTTAGACACGAACAGATTTTTCTCATTTGTGTATGCGAACAATATAAAATTCCTAAAGAGCTTATGACGCAACTACAAGGATGGATGAAATTTCAATTCAATGGTGGTGTTGGTTGTGTGATAGGATTTCGAACAAAAGCTTTGGCTATGTAATCAACCTAGCGGAATGGGCTCTTTATTTTCTTACGTATACGTACTAACTATAATAATATTGCATTATTCGTATTGATCTCTTGGAGTATTACAAGCATAATTTCGTGCTTTACGGCTTTCCAAATGGCCTTTAATAGCAATTACGTGCATATAAACATACGAATTTATGCAATAGTAATTGCAAGGGTATGCTTATGTAAGTGCAAAAACACGCACACATGTCTATATATATATATATTGTAGGTAAATTGCGTAGGCGTTAACAAAAGGCTGCTCCTTAAGAGTACCTTTAGTGCTTCTTCAGATGCTTCTCGACAATGCCGTGGTTAATATTTCTATTGAAGGATTAAACTGTCGCAGAAATTATACGAGTGTGTTAAACGAGTTGTGAAACCTTCGAGACCAATTATTGAAGCACATTCTAAATTACCTCGAAAAATCACTTTAATTCACTATCCCACTGCACGAATAACAGTAATACATATGTAAATCGATTGAAAAATCCCTACTCTTATATATACATATATATATATATATACATATATGAAATATGGTGCGTATGTATGACGATTATATAAGTGAATGGTAATAACATGCTATACGTTCAGCTGAGTACAAAGGGACTATTGTTGTATATCATTACGGTGATCCTTCTTTACTCGGCAAACAAAGGTTATTATTAAACGTATATGCAACAAAGCTAAAGATACTCTAGCTTTGGTGTCTATTGTCTGTATGTATATATGTGAAATTGCGATTTCTACGCATTACACATCTATGCACTACTTACATATAACTCGATTGTGTTCATATGTTTGTTAAAGTAATTTTATATATCTCACAACAATTATTCAGTTAGCATTCAGTGTTAGGATTCTTGTATACGTTCTACTCAATGATTATTTGTATGTGTGTTTTGGAAACATTGTCTTATGTTTATATATATATATATATATATAAATGTATATATTTGCGTGTATCTAAATGTATGTATATGCATGCATATGTATAGATATATATACATACATATATATATATATATATGTATGTATATGTATGCGTATGCGTATGCGTATGCGTATGCGTGTGTAAGCTCTGATGTCCTCAATCCGTCTGTCAACACCTGATGTTTATCTACATATACACATTTGTCTGCATAGTAATAATTTTCTCGGACATGTTTTGTTCTTTTATTTACTACACACTTTAGGATTTTAATCAAGATAAACAACCACATATGTACGTATTTAGAAAGTTTACCTAATTGTTTTCAGAAATCATTTTTATTCTTTATTCTTTAAAAAGCATATATATGTTATTACCTTAATTTCAAAAGGGGTAGAATAACACGAATCTACATTTTTTTCTTCCAGAATATAGACTACAGTTATTTATTTACTTTGAAGACGATTTAAAAGAATGGCTTCTGCTTTTTAATATTTTTCAGGATAAATTTTTTTTTCTAGTATTTTAAGGTATAGTTAGTTAATAAACTCGTTAAATATTATGATTCATACCCCTAGGAATCTAACAGTTGGTGCTGTCGAATACAGGGACGCACGTTCGGAAATACCTGAGTACGTCTGCGAGCCTAATAGACTATTTGCACCCTGATAAGGCAGCGTGTGTTCTTAAATACTTGAATGGACCAAGTGGAATGGACCAAGTAGTTTATTCATCCCTGAGAAGTCAAGCATTATACTTGAATCTGTGGGCGCAGTAAACCTTGCGCTCCCGCATAAATCCCTTTGTGCTCTTGAAATCCCGAATGCGTCTGTGCACCTTGTAAACTATTTATTACCGGGTAGGACTACTTGCGTCCTTCTTTACTAGGATGCGTCTCTTGACCCAGTTGTGCACCTGGTAAATTTTATGCCCCTATGTTAATCTTTCATTGATTTGCTCTTAACTATCGCAATGCATCTGTAGGCTTTCTAATTTTGTACTTCTTCAGTATTTCTCCACATCGGTGGCGGAGATGAACCTAAAGTTAATATCAAATTTGCATTTACGACTTAAGAAATTAATACCGCATTAAAGAATTCATTAATCTTGCATGTTTGCGTGGGTTCTTCAGTGCGATTCACAGGACACACTATTGTAGTTTGTACACACAGCAGTTTTGAAGCTATTCTTACCGTTGGCCTGGGCCTGAAATGGGCATTAAGTCCATATCTCTATCAGAACCTTCCAATTGTGCCCTTACTTCTTTGAGATAAATTTCTGCATGCCATAATTTGCGAATCTCCCATAGCTGACTGCAACAGGAAAAATAGTTTTTACTATTGAAAAATTAATTAAAAATGATACCATAATTAATTCAACGAATATAGGTTTATCCTAATAAAAGATTTTATCTAAATTTATTCAAAATAATATTCAATATCACTTGATTTAATTTTCTGCATTACTTTACTCTTTGGTTTCAATGATTTAAAACGAGCTGTCACTATCTTCCAACTGTTTAAGGCAAGTGCTGCGACTTCGTTAAAAGGTATACATCATCAAGTTGAAAAACCGAAAGGGCAAATATTACGACGTATACCCGGGAAAATATAATTTAAAGTATCGTTTTTCAAATCGATGGATTCACAGATGTTTCAGTTATTCACGTATTAAATAACAATACATAGAAATGGATGCGAAATGAAGAAAAGAAATTAACTTGATGTTTGCTGTATGGGTGGCACGTTTCTTGGGAAATTATCACAGCAGCCAGGTTCCCTCGAACACTAGCCAATAGAAATATAAATAAGTAATTGGATAATAGTTGCATAACAGCACTTTCATAATTAATTTGCGAAAGCAAGCAGATAGGTTATACGAGATTATCAATTGTAAAGACTAAAAATCCCTCGTCTGTATAGGTATTCTTCTGTCTGATAAATTTGCTGCCTTTAGCTCGTTGGACTACCCAGGCGTTCAGCCGTTAGTACTACGCTAAATTTACTTACTTCGCGGTCTCTCTCCTATTCGGGAAAATTTAGACAAATGAAACATATAATTCCTGAAAGACTATCTCAATATTTATTTAATTAGATCGGATTAAAAGTTACAAGATTTATATCGTATCTTGCCTTAACTAAGTAGCTTACCCTTCCTACAGACGAAGAGTGCATCTCCTAGACTCTACACTGTTCTT